ATACCGCACTCATTAAATTCCTTTTAAAACCGAGTTATTAAGTAAGAAAAAAGTCTATAGTGACAGACAGTTGTCAATAAAAAAAATAAATTATGGAAAGACATTTTACTTATTCTACATTTTATTACAGTGGTACAAATAATCTCGATTTTACAAGTTTCAAAACCAACAGCGAAAAATCACTTCGAGTAAGTAAAAAAGGAAAATAAAAAGTAACCAATTAAAAATTAATTCGCATGCAAATTAAATATGTAAAAAAATACCATAATTAAATGCGGGCGCTTCCCTATAATTTGTATTTTATTTTATAGATAAGAAACGTATTCGAAGTGTACATCAGTGAGAGGGGACAATACCTGCCTTTGTAGGAATATGCAAAACAGTGCGCCTCTCCTAACGACAAATGAGCAGCGACGACTACTGGGAACTTGGCAATAAACCACATTTGACCTCAATTCGGTGCGCAACGGGTATGCAAATGCATTCCTGGCACCGAACGACAGTCGAAGTGCAGGCGCTGCCGCCAATTCACAAGGCGGCCATTAAACAGTTGGATTCGTTTAACTGCACACACATATACTTGCAAATATGCAAATCCGCTTAAGACTTACACACACATTCAAAACACTTAAATATCGGCTACAAGTGGCATGCTACCTGCCACATGCCGCAGCGGCGCCCACTCGCCGGATTTGCCGAAAGCAGGCGCCCAAGCAAGAACCTGCGCGCGCTAATCGCAACTATAAACAAGCATGTGAACTCCACACACAAACACTTGCATAGTTGTACAACCAAAATCGGTAAAAAGCCATACATACATGCATATATATGCGCGCGACCTACATTAAAGTTGCAACTTGCAGTCAAATATATGTGCCAGCCAAATGGCCCAACGCCGGGCGCAGCGTGTTCACCTTTCACTCACTACGCTCGCTGTCGGGTCTCCTCGCAGCTATTTTCCTTCGCCGAAGTATTTTTTTTCCTTTTACAATTTTGCTCGGCTTGCCTTTTGTGGTCACAAAATGCAGAAACATTTTAAGGTCAATTAAAAGTGGTTGAAATTGTTGCGGGCGATCGACATACAGACAAAGGAAGCCAGAAGTGAGTAGAAGAAAAGCAACAAAAGCAAATAAAAAGTGAATAAAATCGCAGCGATTTGTGGTTTTTTGTGACAACAACGGTGTATGGAAAAAATAAATAAATAATGCTGTCATAGCTGCATTGGCAGTTTGAGCGCAGCTAACGTTGTAAATAATTGTATTATAAATAGAAAATAAAACCAGACTATGTGCTAGAAAAATAAAAAAATAATATTTAATGCATATTACTGTTATATTAAAAAAACTATTATTTAAATAAGAGTGGTAACGATTTTTTATTTTGTTTCAGTTACTCCGGATTCAATGAAAATATTATTAAAATTAACATTTATATTTTTAACATCTTTTTTTATAGCTTGAGCTCGAAAAACTGCAGGACGGGTGTTGGCGTAGATACAAAAACGTTCAAAACTTACCTGTTTCACATGCGTGATTGATAGGCATTAGTACCGACGATACGTGCAGTAGCTGCAAGGAAGTGGGCATGAGAGAAGCGGTGGAACAATAATACTAATTTGGAGTAAAAACCGAGTTATAAAGATCTATGCATATCCGATTCATGGATTTTTTTCATAAGTTTGACTTAGAAATGGTTTTAGTTTCAATTGTGACAACGGTAAAACGAGCTCAGCGGGACAAGTCACGACATAACGGCCACGAGGTGTACTAGTTAAATCTCTTTCTTGCACAAAAAAAATTTTAATTTATATAAGAAAGTGATTGATTATAGTACATATGTACCATAGGTGAACGGGACAGGTATCGAGGAGGTTATGGAAAAACTGTATTGATATTCTAATCTCTCAGTTGCAGTTGAGTATCTATGGAAGCAATCAAAAAATTTATTTTTATCAGAAAAATATTAAAATTAAGTTAAAACTAGTCTATTTTCTCTTACTTTATAGTAAGACAATTAACAACATAGCTAACAATATATTATAAATGAAGCTTTTATTATGCTGTCAGCATGCGAAACAATAGAAAATTTGGTGATAAAAATCAGCTACCGTGAAAAAACAACAATAAAACTGACGCTTGCTTGTTTAGACTCTAATGGCAGCCAGGATGGCTCACGAATCGTGCAACCAAAATCGCCTTTTTGTTTTCTTTGGCAGGTTACTATTTAGATATTTTAAAAATGAATACTTGGGATACCGAAAAGAGGGTTTGGATAGTGCAGCGGTACCATGCTTTATAGTCAGTCTTGTTCATCCAAAGAGATTTCAAACGAGATTTTGGCGGCACTCCCCCGAGTAGATGGACCACTATGAGGCCCATTTTGACTTAAACGGAAATGTAAAGAAGTAAAATTGCCGTATATGGAATTAATCAAATGCAGAAATAATCCACAAGACGGAACTTCACCTAGAACGAGTCACTGTGTGGTACGCAGTTTACAAATACAAAACAAAATACAGATATCCTACTGAATTGAAGCAGTCTATTAAATCGATAATTAAGGCGATCTCGACAATGAATGAATCTAATTAGTTGTCGCATATGCGTGGCTGAGCATGGAGGTTATTTACGGTCCATAATTTTTAAAACTAGTTAAATATATAAAATAAAATAAAATTTGCTATACAAAGAAAAAAAAAATGTGATGCATTGATTAAAAAAAAAGTTATTACGAACTATTTTTGTAGCATGATTCGTGAGCCAATCTGTAGAAAAAAATAAACAATTAACAGCAAACACTCGCCACAAATTAGCGTAAATCGTGGTCAATGACCAGATGGGCGAGCGGCGACACGCACATAGAAAAAAGTGAACAAGCAACCGGTCAGCCATATAAAATATTCACATAAAACATACTTCTAGGCGTTCAGGCACTGAGTGCAAGTAGACGAGGCATCTTCCCGAAATTTGCCATGATTTATTTCCTAAGGCAACACTGTAATCTCCGAAGAAGTTGTTTACGTCCGATCGCTATAGCATATAGCTGCCATATTAACTGAACGATCGGAGTAAAGTGCTTGAATATGAAAAGCGTATGCAAAGAATATTTTTTTTTAATTATATACTTGTTATTGAGATCAATCACGCGTAAATAGGTAGAACACAAAATACTTAAGACACGAACTTGCGCAGTTTGAGTTGGAGGAATAGAAATGTTAATAGGTTAAAAATGCGAGACAATAATTCTAGTTTTTATATAATTTTACATGTATAAATGACATCTATTAAGAAATTCTTTCAGCTTGTGTTGTTAAATATCGACTAAACTAGTTAAATGTATGTTTAATATGTTGAAAAAGTTTAGTTTATTTTAAAATTTTTATATTTCCTTTTTAGTATATCTTCTTATTTTAAAGCCTTTACAGTTATATTGATATATAAACATATGTCTGAGTAATATTTGTTGGGCGAAACCATAGCGAAGTTGAAAAATTTAACATTTAATAGAGGCTATTAAAGCATTTAACGATTGAAAAGGCGCTATTGGACAAATTTAAATTGATTTCGACTAAAATATATACAAAAATACAACAATAACAAAAAAATAAAAATAAGAGAGAGCAATTGCAAATGTCGCGAATCACGCGAGCACTTTGCAAGCACTATAAACACCTTTTGTATCGCTTTGATTAAGTGGAGAAAGTAAGCGTTATTCGCAGTGGCGCAGTTTGTTAACTTTGGTTTTGTTTGCGAATTTTGGAATTAATGAATTGTCATTAGCGGTATTATACGCAACACTAAATTTTGCCTTTTACAGTAATTGGTTTCACAAGCTTTCTTTAGGTCAAGTCTGACACTATTTTCCGAAATTTGGTTATTAATTTAAAAGATAATAATCATTTAAGCATTTGGTGGTGACTTCGCTAGACTATTAAAATTGACTCCTTTGTTGCCTACATTTAGATTCTCTTATTATATACCATTAGTTTTCAGTGAAAGAAAACAACCAATAATTTTATAAAAGCAATGATGTCTTCGTTATATTCAAAGTTTTCATACTTGCATTACATTTATATTACTAAAATAAATGAAAATAAGTATATTAATATACTTACTAGTCAAGGAAAAGAAACAATAAATTAAATTTTCCACATAACAAAATTTTATAAAGAAGGAACAGTTTTTGATAGTTTATTCAGTAAATATAATAACGTTAATCATCCAGAAATATAGTAGAAAATTGCATTTATATGTGGTCACGAAAATTTGAGTTTCCCAAGTTGTCATTTTTATCCTGAAATTTCGGATGTTTTACCGACCTCAAATGAGTGTCTAAATTATTTAGGTATTTTATTATAATATAATTAAAATTACTATAATTTATTATTATAATGAAATGCAATTCATATATATTCGAACTTTGTTTCCCGAAACTGTCACTATAAAATCTCAAAACTCTAAAATTACGAACTTAAGTTAATGAGATTTGTAAATTATTGTAATTTAAATATTAGATCATAAAACCTTATTTTAAACGTGATATGAGAAATATATGTATGTACACAGTTGTATCGAAATTTCTATGATTTGAGACTGTCAAATTGCAGAATTTGAATTACCATGAACAAAATATTCTTCAAAATAATTTTTTTATATTTATACTCAATAAATTGACAATAGGCTTTTTAACAGGCCGCAAATGAAGTAATATTTTTATAGGAACGTGTTTTTGGGAAATAAATAATAAAATATCAAAATTTTTATGCATTTCATGTCATGTAAAGTATAGTATATACATTTCTGCGTCTACTATTTACTAAGAATAGGAAATGTTAAAGCCAAAAAATATAAATAAATATTCCTACACTAGTTTTGTTTACACATATATAATTTTTTGCAAACTTATTTCTAGGCGAAATGTGGTATTAGTCAATAAAAACATACAAACATATTCATATATTTTAATTTTATCGCCAATATTAACTTTTAATATCTACTCACCAGTCAAGAAATATATAACTGTAGTTATAGCAGACTTATTTCATTTAATCCAAGATGCGTGTGTTGTTGTAGTCAGTTTGTTTGAAGTTTTAAGCACACTTCATTATAATTACTTATTTCCTTTATTGCATCCACATTTGTATATAGGTTATTTGTATAAGAAACACTTGCGACGAATGACAGCAGAAATGACAATTATTTGATTAAGCTTCACAAAGGAACACTTCATATTATATTTATTTATTTTAACGCATACATGAACATGTATTTTATTGCAGTTTATGTAGAAGACAAGCTGCACTGAAAGAAATATAAAATATTTATAAATAACGGACATAAATTAAATTGACAAAACATATGTACATAGTTGCTGAGTTAATAGAAAATTAATCACATACACACGCACATGCATGCATGCGTTTTACTTGTTTAAACACACTGCTGCATTTTGATTTAAATATGAAATTATATTTACATTAGAATTCTAAATTAAATTCATTCACATTTTTCACAATCTCTTGTTTATCATTTTTCCTTTGAGTCACATTTATTCTACATTACATACAAACATACATACATATACAAGTATATATAAATATAAATGTTAAATCTTTAGTAATACGCTTGTCACACACAACAGGTCTTTTATATAGACATTAATTGTAAAAGTATATATACAAGTATTCTTTGGCATGCACCTACACATAAATACTATACATACAAATATATGTATGTATAATAACAAATATAACATAAGTTACGTAATAAAATAACAGAGTGCATTAAATTGCTTGGCGTCTGTTGCATGATAAAAAGTGCACAGGAATTTCAGTTGACACAGCAGGAAATGCTTCATAATGGAATTTCAAGATATGGTTTGTCTCAGTTCTGGTTTTTTTATTGTAATTTGAGTATAGGGTGAAAGATTATTAATTGGGAATAATTGTAACAACAATTTTGGGAGCGTAATTTTTAAATGGTTATTTCTATTCAAGTATCAAATTGATGACAATTGACAACAACAGCTGATATATTTTAGAATTTTTGATGTTTTTATTGTGTTTCTGACTGTTTAGTTTATAGCTTTATGTATTTTAATGAAAGTATTTTTATCATGTATTGACATTTATTATTTAAATTAATTAGCTTCGAACAATCTTTAAAACACTGAAATCAATAAATATTTGTAGAAGGAAACGTCGGAGCCTCTATTAATGAGCTGAAACAATTTAGCAATGTCCGTCTGTCTATATATACGCGAATTAGTCCCTGAGTTTCTGAGATACAGGTCTGAAATTTTGCGCACATCCTTACCTCCCCAATAAATGTTTTTTTTTTGGAACCGCCGATATCGGACCACTAAAGCATATATAGCTGCCGTACAAACTGAACGATCGGAACCAAGTGCTTGTACGAGCAAATTTTTATATTTGACGAGGTATCTCCAACAAATTCTTCTTTTGTTATTGTGAAAACTGTATAATTTCCGACAAAATTGTTCAGATCAGACCACTATAGCATATAGCTGCCATAAAAACTAACCGTTCACAGTCAAGATACAGACGATTTTATACCCTTTACGCTTTGAGAAATACACCTTTGAAGGTTATTATGTTGCTGATAAAATTATTTTTTGAATCACTCCTTTAAAATTTTTATAAAAATGCAAATTACTACGAATAAAAAATGTATTGTATTTTCTCAACAACAAATTCCTTTGCTTTAAATAATAGTGAAGAGCCACGTGGTGTGGCCGTATCAAAATATGCTGTGAGAGTAAAAAAAGTAACAAAATTTGCAACAATGAAACGAAATTCCACGAAGTTGTTATCAGCGCTTTACTCGAGTATGAGGAATAAAGCAAAAGGCAATAAAATTAAAAACCGAAATAGAAACAAAGAAATGAATAAAACTAAAGTTGACAAAATATTGACTGCAGTTCAATAAAAGTTGTCTAGCAACTTCTGCAAAAACTTGACAATGGCGCAATGGTGACAAATGGCGGGCGGTGGAGAGAGACGCGGCCGCCAAGAGAACTCGCAGTACATTGCGACGCAGTGGGTTTGCATTATTTATGCGGTTTGTAAGTATGTATGTATGCAACCACAGCTGTTTGCTTGCCATGCTTTTTGCTGTCGCGCGGAGCTGGCTGGTTGCCTTGACTGGTTAACGGCACAAAATCAGCACCAGCACCGGCGACGCGCCAACAGCCAAGTGGCAGCCGAAGGAAATGAGGTCAACTGCTACGCCGCCAAATAGTAACGACAGGTAAACAGTTGTAGCAACCGGCAGCGCAGGAAAAATGGCGGCAGGAATGAAAAACAATGAAAATAGATAATAATGAAGTGCATGCAGCAATGGTTGTGGCACGAACAACAACACAGTAACAACTGCAAATTTATAAAAATAAAGACTTGATTGAATTTTCTAAAGTTGGTAGTTGCAGATAAGATTAAGAGGAAGAAGCAGTCGCAATGCAGACTCAACGCCAATTCGTTCAATAATGGTTTTGTTTTTTGTGTTCTTTCGGTTGGTTTTTTCTTTTCTCCTGTACGTTTTTGCATTGCCACAATATCAAATGCACGCATGTACCGTTTGAAAGCGCGCACGCACACTTTCAATAGCAAATATGTTGGTTTGCCTGCCATGCAAGCGCATATCTAGTTAGAAAGTAAACGAAACGACGACAAGCAGCGACCGGTGGCCATGGCAGTGTCTCGATCTGTGATAGCAGCCACTTCTTTAGTGTAGTACAACAATTCTTTAGAATATATGGTCTCCGCAACTTAAAAAATAATTTTGTAATTAATGATTTATTTTATGAAATCAGTTGTTTTAGTTGATTTAGATAATCTCAAATATTGAATTATAGTCAGTACTTTGTTTTAAAACTTTTTTGGGATCTCAAACCGATTTTTCATCATTATGCATGTAAGAAACTGAAGAAACATAATTGAAGTATTTTCATTCAATAGCTCTTTTATTAATTCAAGCTATTTTAAATAATAAATTTTCTGTTTAGAAAACTATATCATTTGTATTGAAATTTTTTTTGAAGCTTTATTTCATTAAAGGATGAAAAACACCTCAGGGCGAAGTTACTTTTAGTTTTAATTTTGAACTGACAAGCCCATGTAAGAATACATTAACATATATAAATTAACTTCTCACATTATTTACTTAGGTTTGGAAATATTCTGAAGAAATATAGTTTAAATTCGGATCAAAAATTTTATTTTTATTTTTACTAACGTTTTTTTAGTTGTTTCATAAATTATAATTTAAATATATTAGATATATTTTAACTTTATATGTTTAAAGCTACCAAAAAATATGATTAAAAATCTTTTCCAAGATCATAAAAATATTTTTGAATACCAACATTAGTAAATTTAAATCAAAACTTAATCAATTAATATTTTTTCGACCTTTGTTGCGCTCAAAGCAAAAAGAAAAAATTTACAATATACAATTTTTTAGTTTAAAATTATGAAATAAAATTTAAAAGCCAAAAATTATTTTAGTTGTTGGGAACTTTTTATTTTGTTAATTAAAATTTTTTTACGTTTCATATATTTTTTTTTATTCAAATTTTAAAAAGTTTTTTTTTTTCACTTTTACATTAAATTAATTTTAATAATATTTTTTTATTGTTTTAGGCTCTCTTTTTCAGTATAATTTTAAAAATCATTTACAATAATTATATATTTGGAGATACACAAAACATGCAGTTTATGTGATTTCAACGTGTCAGATAACATTGAAGTTAAGAAAAATTAAATTTTTCCATGAATTTTGACATTTAAAATCACTTTTTTATTTTTAATTTATGCTTATTGTTTAAAACCAATTTTCATTGTGGCCGTAGTTTTCCGTTATATTCCAAAAGTATGCTTTTTGTTTCTACAATTCTCAAACTTTAAAAATTCCAGTATGCTATGTGCGAAACTTTCAATTTTTTCATATTCATATTATATAGTCTTTGTTATTGTTTATTTATGTATTATATTGTATTTTGTTATTTCCTTCACTTTTTGTTGTCGTACCCAATTATTTGTACCCTTTTCACTTTTGTTCGCAAACGAAATCACGAGCAAGTGGACAATTACTTCAAAACACTACTCAGATTACCAAGTGCTTTAATCCCATCACTTTTCGCAACAACAAAACACGCACACCCACACAAGCACAGCACACATTAATTTACTTAAGAATAGGCATATTTTACGGCTCCCCCACCTAAACCAAAAACAACTAAAGCAATTCGACATATTTCCTTTCAATTGAATTCACCTGTTGCACAAAACACAAAACTCAGCAGTAGCAGCAGCAAAAACAACAGCAACAGCAGCCCTACCGAGAAGGCTAAGACTGCATGTTAGCAGCAGCAGTAACGGCAACAACAATTGCAACAACGCAAACGATGCAAATAAAATGTACGAACGCGAATGCACAGGTGAACTTGGAGCAGCAAGGGAGAGAACTACGAACACACACCGAGTGCAGAGCGCAAAGCGTGGGCAATAAACACAAAAGCGACAAAAACGTGTTTATTTGGGGTGACGTGCCGTGTAGACCGATGCTGGGCTCGGACCGAGGGGAGCGATGGCGAATTTGTTTCGCCTTCACTGCTGTAGACCTGTCCCAAGCGAACAGGCAGGCAAGCAGACACACAAACAACACTAAGCCCAAGCGAGTAACGTAGGCTCCGGATAAACATGACAACGACGACAAATGTAGAAGCGCATGAAAATGCAATCTTCACGGAGCTCACTCTGTGTGTTTGTTTTTGTTGCTAGTTTAATACGCGGCGATTAGATGAAGGTAACGCTCGAGATTCACGTTGACGAAACGTAGCAAAATTTCCATCAACACTGAATCGCGTCGACACTGAGAGACAAGTACAGACCAAACTGGCACACAAGGAACACCTGAAAAGCGGAATGCAATGGAATTGGAATAATTGCAAGCTGAGCTCAGGTGAAGAGAGAATGAGATGTTGATTTCATTTATATTCTCTGGTTGATTTGGTTGCGATGTTTGTTGGGTTTGGTGTTCGTCGGTTCGGTTGCTAGTTGGAAAGTTGGCTGGTTGGCTAGTTGGCCAACTTGTTCGAGTGTTGACTTGCCGACTGTTTGATTCGTTTTGGATAAACAGGTGCACAGCCGGTGCTCATACTGTAAATCAGTGAAACAAATAGAAATCATTGACGTTCTCTGGTAAAAGTTCGATCTGTTATCTGAAAGTTAACATTTCGCTGTTTTGTTAAATGCTAACAGGTAGCAGCAGAGTATGTTAACAACATTTTTTAATATTTTCCGAATACAGCATGCTAACATTAAATGTTAACATTCTCTGCTCTGGTTAAGACAGACAATGTTAAAGTAGTTCATGTTAAATCATGTTATTCATTAAGATGCTCTGGATAAATGTTATTTCTCAGTATTCTCTGTTAATGAAATAGAATGCTGCTCCTGGTAACAGTTCGAAGTTATAATTGTTGGTATTCAGTCATTTAAGGGGTTATATTCACTTTAAAATTTCAAACAAACAAAAAATTATTTTTATTAATTATATATATATATATCGAATGTACATATATTTGAAAACATTCTCCGAAATATTGAAGTTGACCCGGTAAATAATTTTGGAGATATGAACATGTTTGTAAGAATTTTTTAACATAATTTAATCGGTTCCCTAAACCTTAGGCGCCTTTTTCTTGAAACACTGTTTTCAGAGCCGTTGAGTGAAATTTAAATATTTGTATTTGTCAGGTAATGGTTGGAGAAATAAGGTAATTTCGATTTCTCTAATTTTTGATATTTTTTCGATCGTAGGTCATTGTGCAGATACTATCTTCTAGAGATATTTTTTCTTAGAACGGAATCACTGCAGCAGTGAAGGATCTTTTTTGCCGTTAGATATATTAAAATTGGAAATGTTTTATTTCAAATCTTAAGAACCCATGTTAATATTCAGAGATGATACATTTTTTCCAGCATGTCAAATTCCAATTAAAATAATATACTTTTTTAGAGATCGATTAATATTCGGAAGCTTTCTCGAGATGAAAGCATCAAATAAAAAAAAACCTACAAAAATGTGTTTTACTAACAGAAAAGTATTTAAAACTCTGTCTTCTAAATAAATAAATAACACAAATGCTATGAACAAACGTTTATATTCTCCCAAACGGAAATACAATATTACAAATAAAAACACAAACAACCGATCTTGAATATTTGCTCATATACATATATTAGTATACCTCATTATTACAATTTTATTTTATCTAATTAATTTTGAAACTTTTTTAATAAATATTTTTAAACTTCCATCTAGTAGCATGGTGAACTTACTAATTTAATATTATATTATAGTCTACATTTATGAAAAGCCATTACATTATTAATATGATTTTCTATATAAATACTGTATACATATGCTGCTGAGCCGTCTAAACCGTTATGCGTAGAAAATTGTCTAAAACCTATTTTTTCCTTTATCTAGTTCTTAGTATTCAAATCCAATATACCGTTACCAAAAAATGGGCAGATATCGGGATTTTCACTGCAGCGATGGTAACAGTTGCAGTTCAAACCCGGTTTACAATCGCTGCTTCCGCCATATTCGCGGCAGACCTCACCCACACCCTTGCGACATAGTGTGCGTGGACGACAGAACTCGGGGTTAAAGTTTATATTAAAACTGCCTATGAAATGCGAATTCAAATTAAAATATAATTTTTAAAAGCTCTTTTTAATGGGCAAAAGCTAACTTACCATATTTGCAACTTTCAGGATACACACTGTTTGGGCCACAACTAATGGAGGGGCCGAATGATTTCCTTTGAAAGTAAAAATTTTCAAAAAAAAGTTTTGTTTGTGTACAATAAAATATTCTATTAATACTTGTACTATATACTCACAGCCCTTGAATTCCATTTTGTCGCAAAACTAAGGCAAGTATCAATGTCAAGCTCAGCTTGGCAAACCAACCGACATGTGTACGTGCACTTCGATGAAGCCATTTTAATAATTTTTCTAAATAAGGCTTTGAAATTTTCGTTTGAGACCCTACGCTTTCTGTTAAGATGTTGTATTAATGCTTTTCGATGATCTTTGCTCCATCCTTTTATAAGCTCTCTCAAGTGGTTTTCAGTCATCTTTTCTAATAATTTATGCAATTTTCTAGTTAATTATTCAAAATGCTGCTCATTGACTTTTGAATAATTCAACAATTTAGCTATTGTTTCTGTCGGTCATAATTTGATTGTCATCATTTTACCTTGACCGCTACTTATTGTTCAATGAAGTGGCGCGGATATCTTGTAAACAATTGACAGAAGATCGCTTTGTAGGTCATTGGGAATTGATTATATTAATGCATTAAGTTAGTGATGAAGAATTTCTAGCAAAATGTTATTTATGTAGTTTGAAACTCAACCGTTAAATGGAAAATGGACATGATTATCTCACAATTTCATCTGGAACTCGTGTATCATCCTTTAAATATATCTGACAGGGCCAACTGTCAGACTTTATCTCGTTTACCTTAGTAATTTGTATTCAGGTGTAAATAAATAATAAAATGAAATACAAATACTGATGCAATACCAATAACAATATCAGTACAAATTAACAATGCCAATTGCCAAATTAAATGCGATACTAATACATATACTAATACCATTCAATATCAATACTACAGCAAAATACAAGTAAACACAAATACCAGTACCAGTACCAAAACCGAAAGCATTACCAGTACTAATGCAATACTAAAGCAATGCAATAACAATACCATACCGTACAAATACTAATTCAGTAATCTTACCGTATCAAATATTAATTTCAATCCCTCTAGTTACCATTACCAATGCCAACACCAATACTAATTTCTATACCCCATGCTAGAAATATTACTAGTTATAGTCATTTGCGTTGATGTTAGGGCTGTTTCTGGCTAGTGTTGCGTTGTAAACCGAAAATGATAGTAACATTTTCCTAACACGGGTGATTTTTCGTATTGGTGTAGAGGTCAAACCATCACCATTTACTAAAATTACAAAAGTTGCTATGCGTTGGGAAAAGTTTTGAACTCAAATTCGTAATTAGGACATCTCAAATAACCCCACATACCTCTCTTAGCACATCAGTCGAAAATTTTACCTCAGATTGGTTGAGGTGGTGTTATTAGCGAACAGGTGTTACAATCAGAATTCAATGAATATATCGTAAAATTACGATCTTAGTAATTATGATAACCGTTGCTATAACAGACAAGCTGGATTGACTAATGATAATATCATTAAACGCCTAAGCATCTTTGAATAGATAATTAATAGAAACCTATTTTTATCTCTCATAATTTGAATCAGATTAATGTTAACCGCATAAAGCCAGAGTTGAGACCTATGTCGAGCTACATATAAAGATATTCCAAACTCAGAGAAAACGATCAAACGCTTCACCAGCTTTGAAGCAACAGCATCAAGTGCTGTTATTTTAACAGGTCTTGCTTGGGATACAATTTAGAACCTATAATGTATCAAGTATCAACGCGCTCTCACATATGTACTGTATAGTAAAGCATGATGGGCTACTGGTATTCATGCTGGTATTCTTGCATCGGACCATCGGAAGGAATGTGAGTATAAATGTTATTTTATTTTGCAATTATTTTGGTATTTTTACTTAATTTTTCTAATCGAAGGTCACTTCTTTCATGCAATGTAGGTATGAATCGGGCAGTAAGTGGATCCTAGAGAACGATGCGCATTGTGAGTTCACAATTAACATTTTATCTTCCCAAACCAAGTATATAATTTCAAATTTCTAACCCCTCCATGGGCGCCTTCGACTTAAATATGAACCGCACAAATTGCAGATCTCGCATGGTTGTTACGAGATATAGGCGAGACTTGTCCAGGAGCTTGGTACTGGCAGCAATTGCTTGCCACCTCTGGTTTGTAATTGTTTCGTGTAATTAGTAGTGAGTGACTTATGCCACAAAAATGCCATCGATAATAAATATGTCAAAGCGTATGAAACCAGTTTACTCAGAATATATCTATTAAGATGTCGTTGGCTGATGGAACCTAAACAGTTTATAAACAGTTAAAGATAAAAGCAAAATTAATGAACTCTGATTGATTTTATTAAAAAGAATTACATGATATCGCAAATGAATCTACCAAAATAGCATGCTAAAATGTTAAAGACCTTTATGGTGTCAGTATGAATGATACCCAACCTTTAGTATTAATTTAATCTTAAGTCTGATGTATGCTCTGAGCCGTTATTAAACCTAAATATGTTAAAATATAATTCCGTGTTAATAAAAGCATGCAACTTTACAAAGTTCTAATATTTCATCTCTTACAAACCAAGCGAGGGGCTGAATGTCCAAAATGTCTACCTGTAGACTATCTTTGCTAATATACTTGGTCGGTGCAGCCATCTTTTCAAGTAATAACCTCAACATACGTAAGTATGCAAATTTGTATTCATTTGCCACGGCGATCCGAGTCTGTTTGTGAAAATACATTCTGATATTTAAAATTCGAAGGTGTGTCACAATTCACCAATTATTATGGGTTTAAAAATACAGACTTTTCTCAAAAACCTTAATAAACTTTCATGCTCTACAAATTCTTAGAAATGTTGTCTACACCAGCAATACACATATTTACACTTAAGAACATATGTTTGGGGCTTTGTGTAGCCCTAAGTCCACCTGAATTGAGGTGTCTGTCGCCTAAATGCCTCTTAATGCATCTTCGACATGCCATTAAGCGTAAAAACACACACGCACAGGCACCAAATTGCCTAGGAAATGCGTTGCATATGGCTAATAAATCAAATGTTTAAAAAGATATGAAACGCCAAACAACTGAA